GAGGTGGTTTGCCACTGCCTGGCTCCGTGTCACACCCCTGATATCCCTTGGAGGTCTCCCATCCAAATACTAGCCAGGACCGACCCCTGCTTAGCTTCTGAGATCTGATGAGACCAGGCTACCCGGGTCAGGGCTCTTCCCTTTACCACGCAGGTAACTTGGGAAGCTCCAGGCCAAGCAAGAACACACAGACACTCAGCAAGTGCTCCCCAGCACTGTCTTTCCCACGAACTACCTTGGCAAGCAGCTGCAAAGAAACCACAAAGAAGAGTCCTTAGATGGATTGGTAAGACAGTGACTACAGGACGTGGTGTAGCGATGTTAATGGTAAAGTTCACAAAATGGTGCAAGAGGTTAATACTACAGTTCAGTAGAATGCCAGGACCGGGACACCAGCTTGCATCCATGCCAGGTTACATACAGAATATATTTATTTTATTCGGTTTATATCCCGCCCTCCCCACATAATTTAAGAGTGCTTTAATAAGATTAACACTGTGCACAACGCGACAGAACAAAACCTCTCCTCAGATATTTAAGGGCCTCTTGCTACAGGCAGCTCTAATGTCCCAAGCTTCCAATGTAATACTCCTCCCCCCATATCCACCTGATGCACCCATAATAGCCTCATACAGACTTCCTCACAAGCACTTATCCCCCCCCCTCGCCAATCTCCCTCATCCTTCCAAAACAGACATACGCCCTTCAGGTCCTCACATTCAGAGACGTGGTTGTCCAGCCACAGGAAGGCTACAGCTAGCGGAAACCACTGGCGAATCACAGAGCATGTGGCAGTTTCACTTCAGAGGAGAAAAGATTTTAAAAAGCAGGAAAATGGGACACAAACTTGGAGAGGTGCAAGCAGTGGGTTAGTGGCATCCATTACTTAGCCGGAACATAATTTGAAGTGGCCATATTCTTTGTTCAGGAATTCATTATGAGATGCTTAATCAGAACATTTAATCATAAAGACTTTCACAAAAGACCAGGAGGTCTAAAAGAAGGTTCACAGTGCATAATCTCTTCATGTTTTACCAACGCTGGAACAGGGGGAATAATTCACAGCACATCAGTAATAGGAAAAAACGAGAGAGAAGCATATGCAGAAGTATGTGTAGCCTTATATTCCTCTCCCCAAAGGAAACTGTATTTAACAATCTACATAAGGTTTTTAATACCAAGTGGCAGATTTTCCCCATCAATTGATATTGCCTAAACAATCCCACAAATTCTTTGGAAAGCTTTTCAAAGGCACATCAACCTTACACAAAGATACCCACTTCAGAGGACATAAAAGGTTTCAAGGTTGAAAAATGACGTGGATTTCTATGCATTCCCTGACCTCCAGTCCATTGAGTCAAATAATTAATCTGCTAGGGTAAAGAGAAGAAATTCCTTTGTCCTCTAGGACCTCTATTACTTACAGTATAAAACAGCTCTGCCAGGATCCAGATGCAATACAATATCATCAAGGGAGGGCCATCCATTCCAATTAAAATCATTGTAAACATCTGGTCTTTCCATCACTTCAAGAGAAGCATTTTATGTAACCACAGTAGACAGCTCATGCCCCACTGTAGAGTTCTATGAACCAAAAAGGGTGTTTCTTTAAAACCATAATCAAAAAGTCTAAAACATACATGTTTAAATGCTAGTGTAGATATTTTTAATATACAGGGACTGTCACATGCAATGCAAGTGAAATTCAGTGAATGATCAGCAAGCTCACAAAAATTGCTTTAAAGACAGCCAGCTAAAACTCCCCTTTTGTCCAGGGGTACAATGTTAATCCATTTTAGATCTTATGTAAACCTCTGTGAAAACAGCTTTATCCTCAGATTGCTTGTCACTGCCCTGAGAACTGGAGACACTATCCATCTAGCAAATCCTAAAGGAGATACTTTAAACCAAACAGAGACAGACAACACTAACCTAAACATTTTCATGCCCCCCCCAACCTGATTAAACCTCTGATTGTCCTACAATAAAAATGCAGTATCCTAAAACAACTGATGACAGAGAAGATCCCTCTGAATTTCAGAAATCTGACACAAATATGGCAAAACTACTCAGGCTTTACTCCTAAGTAAAATGTAATTGGTTACCCTAATCTGCATGAAGGAAAAACAACAGCAACGGAGTATCGGCACCAATATCCAACACTTAGTGAAAAGATATTTAGAGTATCATTCTGAACCAAAGGCAACAACTGCATACTCAACCCTTACAGCATAGTAGGGAGAGAACAAACTATATAGCCCGGGTGCATAATGCCATATGACTTGCAAGTTAGTAAAATCTTCAGGGGACACCTTAATATAGCTCTTACTCATCACTTTGAATATTTACACACTCCTGAGAAGCAATTACTTGAGGGAATAAGATTACAACCTAATTACTGCATGTCCGCATGCGTGCACACACACAAATGCTGAACTTTCATTTATCTCCCAAAAGAGGTACATACTGAAAGTCCAATCTTATATTAAGGAATCAGTTTTCTAAGTTTTGTACACAGATGTAATTATGGCAGCCTCTTACTTCTAACTTCTGGAGCATCCACAGAGTTACGCGCATACCAGCTGTGTCAGTTTAGTGACGACATCCCTTCCCTCTGTGTGCATACACACACATAACTTACTTCTGAAGGCAAATATCACTGCACACTGTAAAAGCACTGCCATCTGTAGAGATAGAGGTGTTCACTGCTCTTATCAGCGAATGCATTCCCTTTGCGCTCAAAAGCTAATAAATTGCGAAAGGGTGCCAAGGGCCAAACTCAGAAAGCAAAAATCAGTCAGGAGAGGGATTTGGTTTCATTTGGAAAGAGAGTTCTAAGCATCTCATTAAATGGAGAATCAGATCAACAAAGATCAGCACAAAGCACCAACAGAAAGAAGGAATTTGGGGAAGGGCGGGGGAGGCAGTGTGCTACTACTGCTGCAACCGAAAGGATGCAGCCAGATGGCTCATGTCTCTTACGAGAAAAGAGAGGCTTTTTTGTCAAGCATTTCCATCAAAAGGGGCAGCTTCGTTTAATCTTGAAACCAAGTAAGAACCCCAATGACAGCAGTCACCTGTTTTTGATGGGTTGGGGGTGAGCAGCACCTCTAAGGCAAACAGCACCAGGGACTATAGCGAAAGAACCAAATACATATGAAAGCTAAACACTCCCAGGACCAAAACCCTTGGGACAAAAAGGAGCCATCCTCTCCAGCTCTCCTCCCCCCCCCCCCCCCCCGGTATATGAAGGCGGTGGTAAGAAAGGCTACTGTCTGTCTATCCTGTAATGAGGGACACATTCACCAAATAAGGCCGCCAGCTCCAGGTTAGAAAATTCTTGGGAGATTTGGATGTCAGAGTCCAGGGATGTGGGGTTTGGGGAGGAAAAGTACCTCAGCAGGGTGTGACACCCTCAAAAGCAACCACTTTCTCTAGGGGAACTGAACTCTGTTCCCTGGAGACCAGCTGTTCTTCCAGGAGGTCTCCAGACCCCACCTGGAGGCTGGCAGCCCTATCACCAAAAGGGCTGGAGGACAGCTCGTCCTACACCCTGGAGAAGGAAGGAAGGGGTGGAAAGCAAACAGGTGAGGAGAGAGGAAGGAAGGCAAATAGATGTGGAGGGAGAAGAGGAAGGAAGGAAGGAAATAAGGAAGGAAGGAAGGAAATAAGGAAGGAAGGAAGACAAATAGATGGGGAGAGAGAAGAGGAAGGAGAGAGATAGAAAGAAAGCAAATAGATGGAAAGGAGGAGGTAGAAATAAAGCAAATAGATGGGGAGACAAAGGAAAATAGATGGGGAGAGAGGAGAGGAAGGAGAGAGATAGAAAGAAAGCAAATAGATGGAAAGGGGGAGGTAGAAATAAAGCAAATAGATGGGGAGACGAAGGAAAATAGATGGGGAGAGAGGAGAGGAAGGAGAGAGGTGGAAAAAAGCAAATAAATGGGGGGAGGGAAAGGGTGGGGAGAGAAAGAGGTGGAAAGAAAGCAAATAGATGGGGAGAGAGGAAGGAAGGAAGGCAAACAGATGGAGAGAGGAAGGAAGGAGAGAGACAGAAAGAAAGCAAATAGATGGAAGGGGGGAGATAGAAAGAAGCAAATATATGGGGAGAGGAGAGGAAGGAAAATAGATGGGGAGAGAGAAGAGGAAGGAGAGAGGTGGAAAAAAACAAATGAATGGGGAGGGAGGAAAAGAGGTGAAAAGCAAGCAAATAGATGGGGAGAGAGGAGCGGAGCAGAGAAAGAGGATCGGGGGTGCAACGCGTGGGCGCCCGAGGGAGGACAGAGCCACCTCACCCCAGGACGCCTAAAAGAGCAAACCTTAAGACACACGGCCCAAGAATTTCGCCTACAACGCTGCTACCTTTTCTCTCCATTCACCACATCCAGTCCGAAGAGCTCTGGTGAGCTCGAAGGCTTGCACGGAGCTCCCCCCCCGCCGTGGTCCTTGCGCTATGAGTCCCGCATAAGGTCGCAGCCCCGCAGATTTTTCGGGCTGTTTCTCAACAGAAAGGGAGATCCACGAGAGTGGGGGATCCACCGGCGAGCGGGTGCCAAAGGAGAAGAGGGCGAGGAAGCGAAAGCCAGGGGAGGCCAGAAGCGGGGGGGGGGGGGCGCGCTATCTTTGCACCACCACCCCATATGCACAGAACCAAAAAGGGGGGAGAAGAGGCAATTCAGCCCCCCTCCCCAAAAACACCCCCCACAGCTCTTCCTGTATCCCCACCGAGCGCTCACCTCAGTCGCCTCCCCCCGCCGGAGCCCCCGCCACCATCGCTGCTGCCGGCGCCTCCTTCAGCCGCTTCTTCCGACTGGTGCCTCCGGCCCCCTGTCAGCAGCCCCCGACGCAACAAGGCGCCCGCCCATTGGCTACCGGCCCGCCCCCAAGAAGCGCCGCTTTCATTGGCTTTCCCGCCTGCCCACTCAGCGCGCGTGCTCGAAGCTCGCGGGGCCGCCTGACAGGGAAAAGGGGCGGGGCCTGAAATGCCGAGGGGGCGGGGCTTCTGGGCTCGGAAGGGGCCGCTCGGCTTACCTCAGTGCTCGGAGGAACCTTTTGGGGCCGGGTTCGGTTTCCTCGTCGGGAGGTACGGGCACAAGACCGGCTTCCTGTTTCCGGTCGATCTCTGCGTTTGGTGAAGGGTCATTGGTCTGTCAGGTACGCGGGGTTGCAAATCAGTGTCTGTGTTTGCACGTTCATTGGCGTTGCGTGTCTTTTTCTTCTCTCCTGCCTCGTTCGTGCGGGGTTAAGTGTTGGTTTTCACGTGTTAGGAAGGAATGCTCGTTTCCTGCTCTGACCCACGTGCATAAATCGTGGCTTGTCTGTAGTGGTTCTTTAGTCTTTTCTTGAATTCAGTGTCTGTGTGTTAAAAGTGCCGTCATGTCGTAGCCGGCCTATAGTGACCGCTCATGGGGTGTACAAGACAAGAGATGTTCAGAGGTGGCTTGCTTCTGTATAACAGCCCTGGAATTCCTTGCTGGTCTCCCATCCAAATACTGACCAGGACTGAATAACTTGGAGTTGGAAGGGTCTTCCAGAGTCATCTAGTGTAACCCTGCTTAGCTTCAAAGATCAGGCAAGGAGCTTAAGATCAAGGATGTTTTAGTGGCATATGGAGCCCTTGTTTGCAGGAATACACATGCAGCTGCCTTTATACTGAATTAGACCATTGGTCCATCAAGGTCAGTATTGTCTACTCAGACTGGCAGTGGCTTTCCAGGGTCTCAGGCAGAAGTCTTTCACATCACCTACTGAGATGCTGGGGTTTGAACCTGGGATCTTCAGCATGCCAAGCAGATGCTCTACCCCTGAGCCATAATAATTCATTAGGGGACAGGCTGTGGCTCATTAGAAGAACTTCTGCTTTGCAGAAGGTCCCAGGCTCAATCTCCAGTTGAAAGTACCAGGCACTACCGTAGTTAATGTGGTAGACCTCTACCCTGAAGAGCCACTGCCGGTCTGAGTAGATGATGCTTGATGGGACCTGTGGTCTGATTCAGTATAAGGCAGCTTCATGTATTACTGGGGGGAAAAAATGGGGCAACCTGGTGTATGCAGTTCTGCTTGGTTAGGTGATAGGGCAGGGTACAATTGAACTTACGCAGTTTGTAAAATGTATTTATAACCAGTGTTCCCTCTAAGCTGAGTTAGTGTGAGCTAGCTCACAGTTTCTTAGCCTCCGGCTCACACATTTTTGTCCTAGCTCAGGAAGGATGGCTCCAGAACAAACTAACTTATGCCGGAGCCAAATTGCTCGCTCACAACTTTAACGCAAGTAGCTCACAAAGTAGAATTTTTGCTCACAAGACTCCACAGCTTAGAGGGAACATTGTTTATAACCCTGCCTTTCTGTTAAAAAGTAGCATTCATAATAGTCATCAAGGTAGAATAGTAACACAGCACACATTTGTAGGGAATTATTTTATTTTTGGCTGTGTTCAGCATGCTGAAAAAGCTATCTATTTATTATTGTTTGGTGTAGTGGTGAAGTGCATGGACTCTAACCTGGGAGAACCAGGTTTGATTCCCCACTCCTCCACTTGTACCTGGCTGGATGACCTTGGGCAAGCCGTAGTTCTGATAAGAGCTGTTCCTGAAAAAGAGCAGTTTCTGTCAAGAGCTCTCTCAGCCCCACCTACCTCACAGGGTGTCTGGGGTGGGGAGGGGAGTGGAGTGGAAAGGAGTTTGTAAGCCGCTCTGAGACACCTTTGGGTAGTGAAGGGTGGGGTATAAATCCAATCTCTTCTTCTTCTTCCACAAATCTCCAAATGCTGTACTAAATAAACCTGTTTTACAGCTCTTCTGGAAAGCTAAAGGTGGGTGTTTTCCCTGTGTCTTTGGGAAGGCTTCTCCAGTCCATCGGAGTGGTTACAGAATGAGACCACCAACAAGGGTATATATATCTGTGAGAAGGATCTGCTGTGATAAATGGAGTTGCTGCTTGAGTTCCTACAGGTTGCCACATTACAGTGGGGGAAGGAGGAGAAAATGGCTTTTTAAGGGAAATCGGATGTTTGGTCAGCTTAAACACAAACATAGAGCAATACGTGCTCCGGTGCAGGAATAAGGAATCGTATCACTTCTGGAAGCAGTTAAAGGGAAGAAGGCTGCAGTTTATTAAGCGTGTGCATACTGTTGCTCCCTAGAGTTACCAAGGCACATTAGAAAGAAAGCCTTCCACTTCTAACATTCATATAGGTTACAGGATACATATTGATGTTAAATGAATTTAGTTTCTGTTGTGTTCCAACGGAGACAATTGAACGGAGCAGGCTGTCTCCCGAACAGCCGGAGCTTCGCTCCCAGAAACAATAGGCACAGAGGATCCGAGGAGCAGCCTATTGGCTAATCCGGATCCTGAAGGAAGCTTACCAAATGAAGGTTAATGTAAATAAGCCAATCATGAGTGTGTGGGGGGGGGTGTTAGTTTGGGTGCATTTAAGCAGCCCTCGGGCTTGCCCTTGTATCTCAAGTTCTTGAAATCACTAAGCAAAGTATGAGCTGAAATCACTCAACGTTGCGTCAGTCTCAGTACTTATAGTTTCCATTCGCAAAATTTGGGGTGGAGAGTGAAATGTTGCTCATCATTCGTATCACAGTTGTAGCTATACAGTAATTGGATTAGCACTGATAGCACTATCTGTGGAAGAATCTGAATTAATAGACATTTGCTGTAGGATTTTCATAGGCTCTTGTTTCAAAACTGAGATTAACGCTTAAACAGCCTTGTGTCTCGTATGTCTCTGCTGTGGAGGCTCATGTTGATTACATCTAGTTCAGATGGGCCAGAAATGAGGCTGTGTAAGGGGTGGATGGGGGGTGGACATGTGCCCACGTTGCAATTTAGTCTCTGTCAAAGTTTCCCAGGTTGTGAAATTGGGAATCATTTTTCTAAAACTTTAAGAGAATGATTGGTTGCAGTATTGGTTTCTGACTTGAACATGGGAAAAGTAATTAGTAATATAGGTAATTGCAATAGTTTGGTCTTCCATGGGCATCAATGAAAATTGAGTTTGATGTAAAATGAAATGCAGAAAGCTGTATTTATTTACTGTTTCCTTTTTAACCAGCTGTCTGTACATGTATACTTACTACCAGGGGTCATTTTGTAGAAAAAGAGGGGCAGGAGCTCATTAGCATAACTTATTAGCATAACTTATTTGCATATGCCACGCCCCCTGACATCACTGGAAGTGTGTCAGAAGGCAACACCCACCGCTCAGGCTCCACTGGACTTTTTTGGATTGCTAGCTATTGGGGGGGGGGGGACGTGCAGATCTGTCCTCGCAGAGGAGGGAGAGCTTGTGCCTGAATAAAACCTGGTCTTAAAGGTGCCACTGGACTGTTTTGGACTGGGGGGGGGGGCTCTACAACTTACCAGGCTGCTTCTTGCTCTGACTGAGGGCTGCTGAAAGCAGGGGGTGGGGCTTGTTGCATGTACCCGCCCCTCGGCTCTTTACTGCCAGAGCTCCGCTCCTGCAGGAAATGACCCCTGGTTACTACTGAATAACTTGAACAGGAATAATAAAGACTTTTTCTTGTGAGGTGAAGGGATTAGACTTTTGCAAAGAGAGGATAATAATTTAAAAATTGTTTATGCTGCTACCTTAATGTTGTTGACTCAGGTTTCTTACTTGTCTATGCAGGTAAAGCTTTTCCATGCGTTTTTTCTTTGAAATGTTGCATCATTCACAAAACCAGTGGAAACTGCTATGAATTCTGCATTCTATTCACTGGAATATTCTGTACACAAACTGTAACAGGGCGTTTATATTTTCATTTTTCCCAGAATGCAAAAAAAAGTCAAGGTCATGGGGTCTGTTTTTTCCTGGAATTATTTTCCAGAGTTTCAACTAGCATCGTATTTACAATCTAAACAAATCAGAGAATGAAGAGAATTAAAGCTGATTAACTTCCCAGGGAATTTTCTTTTTAAAAGAAAACATAATTAAACAAAATGCACAAATATCTATTATATTAGGGATGACGTTTTAAAAGCTGGAAATCCACAAAAGAATGTGTGTCCTTCCGTTTTGGAACTCACTGATGGCCCTGTTACACTTCCTGCCTCTTTTTATCTATATACGGCCACTGGACCTCATTCACGGAGAGAAGGAAATCAGTACTGTCAAAATCCTAATCACACCCACTCAGTTCTCCATTTCATCCCGATCATGTCCTGCAGCCCCTGCTCTGAAAGCTCTGGATATGGGGTGAGGGCAGATCGAAGTGATACGAGTGAAGCCGAATCCAGCCAATCCAGCCAATAATTTCAGGTGCCTGGTTATCATCATTAGCAGAGGGGAGGATAGAGACCCCTGTTCGTAATGGCCCAGATGTTCATAGTCACCTTGGAAGACATGGACTCAGGAGTCTTTCCTGCATCTGAGGTCCCAGGAAGCAACGTGACCTGGGGCAATATGCTGTAGTGTTTAAGAGCGCACGGACTCTGGGAGAACCGGGTTTGATTCCCCACTCTTCCACATGCAGCTGCTGGGTGACCTCGGGCAAGCCACAGTTCTCTCAGAGCTATTCTCTTACTAGCAGTTCTCAGAGCTCTCTCAGCTTCACCAACCTCACAGGGTGTCTGTTATGGGAAGGGGAAGGGAAGGAGATTGTAAGCCGCTCTGAGACTCCTAGTGAAGGGCAGGGTATAAATCCAATCTCTTCTTGTTCTTACCAGCTCTGTGTAGTGAGAAGGCAAAGAGCCTTAGAATACATTCCTATCCAGAGTTACTCTGGTCTGAGCCTACTGAAATCCATGCACTTAGTCTGGAGTAACACTGCATAAGGTTGCATTAGTAGCTTATATCAGATGTGGATCTGGCCGACACGACTCGAGGCCCCTGTCCAGATAGTCCTTCAGGACTACTAGAAACTCCTACTGGACCTCCTCATAGTGCCGTGCCACCAGTCAGTGGTGCACACACATGCCGGAAGCGGCCTTATACTGAATCCAAGTCAGGTTTGTCTACTCAGACTGGCAGCAGCTCTCCAGGGTCTCAGGCAGAGGTCTTTCGTATCACCTACTTCCTGGTCCTCTTAACTAGGAATGCCAGGGATTGAACCTGGGACCTTCTGCATGCCAAGCTGATGCTGTACCACTGAGCCACAGCCCCTCCCCAATGTGGAACGCCGCAGTCCTCGTACGCTAAGCA